TTCGAAATGAGACCAGCCAGCACGTGGACCAATCAATTCCTCCCTTACGTTCCCGATTGGGCCAATCTATGGTCGGATCCCTTTGAAAACTACACTATGGTGAGTTATGTGTTATCTCCTGGTCCAATCTCGTTTTTCATGTCTCTTTTCTTTTTTCTTTTTTCTGTTCTCTTTGGGCCATAATCACAGGCTTCCCCGGGTACTATGTCTCCCCGTTCTCAGGTTGATGCGGACCAACCCAATCCTGCCTCACTTCGCCAATCACCGACTCCACAAATACCTCCAATACAACCTACTCCCCGTCAAAGTGGCCGAAATACTCCCATCCGCCGTCACTCTTCAATGGTAATCCCACCAAACGATTCTCGGAAGGCTGTTCCAAGCGAGTCTGAGGCCGAGTCCAATGTCCAGGTATCCAAGAACCGTTCCAAGCGTTCTCAAGTTGAGTCCGAGGACGAATCAGATACCACCTCGATCAACCAGGGTAATAGTAATGCCACTCGTTCAAATTCGAAGAAAGCCAAGAAGAAGGCAGCTACCTCACCGTGTACCTCTAGTCGAGTCAAGAAAAATAAAGTAAGTAACTTCCTACCATCAGACCCGGCATATGTTTCTAACTGTCATGTCTTTTTCACAACAGTCTCAGGTTCAGAGTTCGCCTTGCCCTTCAAAGCAAAGAGCTCGTGTGGAGGTCGACTTGAGCCGAGACTCAGAAGATGAACATTTGAAAGTCAAGCAACCAGCTAAGAAGCGTAAGAAGGGACCCGAAGAAAAAAACAAGCTTAAAGAGAAGGTGTTGGAAGATGAAAAAGAGGAGGATCCTTATGATTACATCAAAGACTATTTCCAATCAAAACCTAAACGAGGTGGAAGAGATGTAAGAATTTTAATTGACTCATCAGTTTTTGTTTTTTGATAAGAAAGCTGACAAACATCAATATCTGGGTCAGAAACCCGAGGGACCTTTCAACTCCTGGCCATGTAAGTGGTGTGGCTTTCTCGCTCGGTCTTCTGGTGGTTCACATTCGAATATATACGCACATCGTGACGGTTCAAACCAAGACGGTAAGTCTGGCCACCCTGGTTGCAAAGAGAGACATCGGGCAATTGCAGCGGGTGGTGTGCTACCTCCGACCATCTTTGAGAAACGCAAAGCACAAGAGAAGGATGTCCAGCCATCGATTGAGTCCTATGTTCAGAAGGTCAACCAGTTCAACAATTCGGTATTGAATCAAATGGTCGGATTATGGGCCATCCGCACGTCTCAGCCTTGGATTCGAATCAAAGACAAGACTCTGCGAGCCTGCTTCCGATATGCAAATCCTCAAGCTCACCTTTTCGGACGTACCTGGCTTGCCAACTTTGCACACCGCGTGTACCTTGGTCAGCGAGCAACGGTTATATCAGAGCTACAGGTGGGTAATGTTTTCCTTTCTTCAGTCTACATGCTATTCGAATATCTGTTGATTACATCCATCCACTTATTTTTTTTGTCAACATAGGCTCTTAACAGTAAATTTGGCCTGATACTGGACGCGTGGACTTCACCTTGTAATCGCTATGGATTCATTTCAGCCTCCGTTACGTATATCAACAGCGAGTGGAAATTTGTTACCCGACATCTTTCTATGAAAATGATAGCTTGGCACCACAAAGGCAAGTGGTTAGCGGAGCCTTTGATTAAGGTCCTGGTGAAGCATAAATTATATTCTAAGATAAGTATTTTCATATCTATATCAATCTCTATACTTTACTTGAATGAACTAACATATAAATAACACATGGTTTCTCAGACGCACGATTCAGGAAGTAATAACGATACTTGTGCTCGAGCCATGCAAGCTCGACTTGCAAAAGTAGCTCAAGACAAATACGAGGTGTTTGAATTCGATGAGAGTACTGATCACGTGAGATGCGCCGGTCATAAAATTGCACTGACGGTCAATGCTGGACTCCAAGCGCTAGGAATTGAAGCTCCACCGCCTCCTCTTGTGAAGTCCACCATTCTAGGAGACTTCCCACTGGACGATCACCGAATGACCACGATTAGGGAAGAAGACGAAGATCCTCAATCAAATGAGGCTCAAGAACCTCAAGCTGACGATGATCATGGTAACACATCAGATGATGATGATACTGATCTCGCCAACATCCCAGGAAAGGAAGTCGCTGATAAATGGTATCAAGTTATTGATGGACCATTTGACCCCTTACCAGATCTCGAACGACCAGCAACCAATCGGAATGAAGCTAATGCTGTTTATGAATTGACTCTCAAAGTAAGTTTCAGTTTCATATTTGAAGTCTAATACATAAGCCTAAGGACAACTTGTGCTAATCATTGTGTCTGATAGCTCGATGAAATAGCTCGCAAGATAGGAGGCTCATCCCGCATGTTGCAAGTTTTCGATGCAACTTGCAAAAGCTTGGACATGAGTTTTCCTCGACCAATTCCGGGCTACGGAATTCGATGGAACATCAAACTTCAATGCTGGGAACGGTTGTACAACGCTCGTGAGGTAGGTGTCTGTTACTTTTCTCTCCTGTTTGTTCCTTTCATAATTTCCAAGTCACTGATACATATTAAGTTACTAACTAATCAAATCAGGTAATCGACGCTATGCTTAAAGACGATCAGAAGGAACTTACCAGAGGAAAAAAACCCAAGCAATCAAACCCGGCCCTTGCACCTAGCAATCCTCACGAAAATTGTCCTCGTGGAATATTCAACAAAGCCTACATCACACCTGACCAATGGAAGCAGGTTGGTAAGTTGATCAAGGTACTACGAGTGAGTACTCACCCACTTTATCATTTCTTATCATCTTCTCACACATGGCCGTTTGACATTATGCGTCCATCCCTACCTCAGGAATTTGAGTCACTAACCAAGTTGTTCGAGGCAAATGCACCTACTGCTTCGCTGGTCATTCGCGAGTATGTTAAACTCAAGAAATCACTTCAACACAAAATCGACGCCTGTACTTCACGAAGTGACCCGCTATTCCCTATGTATCACGCGATGCAAGTTCGAGTCCAGTCTTACCTCGAAGAAGCACTAAAATCCGATGTTCTAGTTTTAGCTACAATCCTCCACCCCTGCTGGCGAGCAGATTATTTTCAATTTGCGTTTGGTGAATACTCTTCTGAATTCGAAACCGCCAAAACATTGATCGAAACCGCTTTTGATAATCGAAAAGCAAAACTTGAAGAAGAAGCCGGAAAGAACATCAACACCCATGAACACGATTCCAATGATGGCGAAGATGATGACGATGACGGATTCCGTGCTCATAGAAAGAAACTTCACACTCGAACTGAAAACAAACTTTGTAATTATTTGGAACGTGTCGATGAGCCCTCTAAACAGGTGGAAAAAGATCCAAATCTTGCTCTTGAATGGTGGAAGGTGAATTTCCTTTTTATACTATGTCCGATATGTATTAAAGAACTGATAATTTATTTATTTTTCTATTAAGGTTAATGCTGCAAAGTATCCGGTCTTAGCCTTGCTTGCCATGGATTATCTGGCAATCTGTGGGGCTTCATGTGCAGTAGAAAGAACATTCTCTGCCGCGGCAGATGTCTGTTGTCGGGATCGTGGTGCTTTGAAACCGCCCACAGTTGAACGCTCGGTTGGGAGTTGCATGTGGTCTAAAGATGGAATAAAGATAGCCGGTGATGATTTTGAGCAATGCCAAAAAGACATGGCAGAGTGTATGAATTTGGACATGGGAAATAGGAAACGGAAGGGTCGACCAAAATAGATGTACACATTTTTATCAAATATATATCTTATTTCACAAGTTATCTTCTTCTCTTTATGATACACGTCAAGAATTTAGGTTGTAATGGCTGCAATACAAGAAATCCCCGCTCTGTCAATTCTTTTTGGTCTGGGAGTTGCAATACTGCGATACAGTAACCGTATCGTAGCGCCTAGCGCTACTCTACTACGTATTGCGAGCCACAGTATCGTTATACCAATACTGTACTGAGTATTGTACCTGGGTCACAGCTACGCTACCAGGATCTGAATTCTCTAGTATTTTAAGCCAGTTACTTTACCGGGTATTGTCGATACGATACCGGTATCGTAATTGTTGCAGCGTTGCTGTTGCTGCGTTGGTACATAGGATCACACTTTTAGACAGGATCCTGTTAGGGATGTGACCCGTCCCTGGCGGGCAGACTGCAACCACTGCTTTTCTGGAAGCAGACAGTACATTATAGAACTGCAATCTCAACATAAGCTTTACATAGCTTGAAGAGGGATAATCTACCAGTATAACCAACTGATAGAAGTTACCTGAAGATTGCCTCTTTGAAAGAATCAACATGAGGATTTTCTGAATTCTTTTGGGTTAAGGCACCGGAGAAATATTTATCAATACTCAATTCAAGTATCATTCCATCAATATATAAAGAGAAAAACTCAACACTGCTATGGTGTTATTCCAATAAACTCAACACAAAATCACAATTTTGTTGACCAAAGCACAGCAGCAACAACAACACCGCGCTCCGCTCCGCTGCGCTATAAATAGCATTTTTGCCAGCGGAGCGATCCGGCACTATGAATAGTCCCAGATTGCTACGCTTTAATTTCAAAGCCGCTATGACTTTTTAAAGCGGTGCGGCAAATTGCCCCGCTCCGCTTCGCTATGCTCAATTTTTGGCCTCGGTAGCGCTCCAAAGCGCGTTCAGGTAGTTTTTTTGGGCTGATTTAATTACATTATCATTGATGGCTGAACGGGGATGTCAATAGAAAGACTTGTGAAAACAGGAAAAAACATACCCATGTCTGTATGAGAGATGATTGATTGATGATCAAAGACATTAAAAATAAAAAGAGGAAATCAAATGCGCACAATTCTCTTCAAGAGATGATTGACAATAAAAAGCAATATCAATCTGAAGAAAAGACAAGAGAGAACAAATGTGCACAAGTCTCATAAAGAGAGAAATAGAAAGAAAAGGCACCAAAACTTGCACAAGTCTCATGAAGAGATGATCAAAAGAAATAGAAGAAAAAGGAAGAAAGCTAACACACATAATTTTTTTATTCTTTTATCAACCAATCAAACTAATCATGGTAAAACTAAATCCAGTTAAAATCAATTTGGTATTTATATGAAATGAAATCACAGTAGATTTGAATCCTACTTTCAAATCAAATTCTTTATCTTGATGTGCATAAATCATATCATAAATGATGGTCCAAGTGACATGTCCAAAATAAAGTGGTAATGATAATTTTCAATACGTGGCTCCTAAAATTACTGATGAACCAAGTAAAGCACCCCAATTGAATTCAAATCCTAAACATCGAGAAAGAATTTTATACTAGATTAGATTAAGGAGACAATGTGAATTTATCCGAATTCTTAAGAACAAGATTAAAAACTTACTAAATACTAATCAAGGCCAATAAGTGATGCGTTTCATGAGAGGATAAATGACAACCAAAAAGAGTGAACAACTACCTAAAAGGATACTATAAGGATTAAGTTGAAGTAAAACACCTAAACCAACACTAAGTTGTAAACCAAGAGAAGTGATAGCTTTAGGTATAGTAATTGAACCAGAAGGTAATGGTCTATTTTCAGTTCTATTAACTTGTGAATCGATTTCTTGATCTCAAAGATCATTGATTGTACAACCTGCTCCTCTCATTACATATGCACCTAAACCGAAGATTCCTAATTGATATATTAATTGACTTGGTGATGACAAGATTGAAGTTGATGCTAAAATGATTGAAGTTGCACATGATAAGAGTGATAAAATTGATCCTATTGGTGATTGAATTCTAAAGATTGCAAGGTATGGTTTGTTTGATTGTTTTGATCAATTGAATCGGTCTTGTATTGTTTGATGCGAAGTTGATGATACTTTTCTTGTCTGAGATGATTTCGCTTTAGTTTGAATTCGATTGGTATCCTGTTTTTGATTTTGATTGGGTAATGTGGAATGGAGATGAAGTTTTGATAAATTTTGACATGAGGTTGACAATTGTATTGCTCTGAGGCGCTAGGACGCATCATAGCACAGCAAATTATCACTATGCAGTGTGCATCAAAATTTGCTATGTGAAATTTGATTTCACAGATAGTTATAGCTAAGCGCAACCCCTGCTATAAGGCTAAAAGGGAAGCGCGGGCGGAGCGCCAATCAGGATCACGAAGTGATCCTTTAAGCGCATTACGCGTAGTTACACTTTTCTCTGTTATGCACATTTCTCTTTCACATCATGACACGTCTTGTAGTTCGTTAGGGTCTCTTTATATACAGAACAAACATCTCATATTTGTTCCCTTTTTCCTTATCGAACTCAAGCTCTTTTTGTGTGTGGCAATTCTCTCCTTAGAATTGCGTTTCCTTTCGATCAACCAAGTCTTCCCCAGTTAAGACTTCTGTTTGATCTCAATCCTCTTTAGGTAATTGCGTTTCCTTTCGATCAACCAAGTCTTCCCCAGTTAAGACTTCTGTTTGATCTCAATCCTCTTTAGGAAAAGTGAAACGCTGATTACCTTAAGACGTTTGCACCCTCTCCGCTGCCGCTTTTTTGGGTGGAGCGGTGGTGGTGTTGGCAGCAATCAATAATATGAAAGGCAGCTTTTTGGGCTTTTGAAAAAGTAAAATTTGGGATTACAGAAAGCTGGAAGGTATAAATAGAGGGGGCCAGAAGGGGGAATGATTCAGCATCATTCAATGCTACCCATGGCTACACCTAGGTGAGTCGTAAATGGGAAGCGGAGAGATCCCAGTGCTCACCCATCCAAAGTGCTGAAATACTGCCCTTGTGATAGGGTTCAGAGAATCCGGGGGGGTGAATCCAGATTTAGGAATCTTAATTGTTATTCCAGAGAATACTCATAGTCTTTTCACACGTAAAGAAATCTCACCCTTGATCTAAAGGGGCTATTTAGTGAACTTGTTACCGAAAAAGTAATTTAATGATGATTAAGAACACTATAACTAATGTAGAAGATGAGAAAAAAGGGAAACCCTGCCCATAAACCAACCATCCACAGTATATATAATCTTTACAAACACTCAATCATGGTAAATAACCTTCAAAAAGCAACAAAAACTCAACAAAATCCCTCAAAAACCCACAAAAAGCTTCTGATGCAAACTTGTGGTGAAATTATGACTAATGAATGACATCATTCAAGCTGTGAAATTGATCAATGATGGACAGACCTTCTTACACAGTGCCTGTGAAGGGCGCCCCCAACGTTGGAGACCTTCAAGAGTTCAAAGGCAAGCCTTTGTACTTGCTGGAGCCCCCAACGTCGGGGGCCCTCTGCACAGGCATTGTGTTATGATGAATACAGGTGATCTTGTTCTAATGTTCATTGCTGAAAACCAATTTTAGAATTTTGACTTTTTTCTAAAGTGCTCCAAATTTAGATTACTATAGCTCATCTTATCAATCTCATGACTCAGATCAATAGTTGGCATAACATGGCCTATTTCCAATGTGTCATGAATAATTTATTGAGCTGTAAAGATTCATAAAATATGATTTTTGTCCTGTAAATGTTGCTACATGTGTGTATGTAAGCTCAAAAGTCAAAACCCACATCATTCTCTTTAATTCCTCATTTTTTCCCCACAAATCCACTGTTACTAGTGGTTACAAGGTTGTAATTATGAAATGGAACATTTTGCATTGATTGAGCTATCACCCATCCTCATCTGGCAAGTCTTGACATAAGTAATAAGCTGAAAACCTTCATTTTTCATGATTTTCACACCTTTTCAAGTCTATTATTAGGGGGGCTCAAGTCAAATTTTTTTACTACTTTTATCATAAAAAACTTTTCCCAATTTCATAAAATTTACACAAAATTTTATGAAATTGGGAAATGTTATACAACATCTCAAATTTTTTTAAGCAGCAAATTTGCGTAAATTTACTGCTCAGAAGGAGATCCGGAAGAAATTTTTACGGTCCTTTTTTACAAATTGGGAAAAGTTTTTACAGCAAGGTACCGTAAAAAACTTTCCCCAATTTTTCAAGAAAAGGTTGCAAATATTTTGACTTGAGCCCCCTTATTAATTTTTTCCATAAATCCATTTGTTAGAATAACTTTAAAACTTATCCTAAAATTCTCGGCAACCATTAAATCCCTCAAACCAATCATTGCATATGGATAACTCCCATAGTAACCTTGTCTACCACTCTCAAGTTTCCCTTGTTTTTGAATAATTTCACTCCTCCCTTATCAATCCACGTGATCAAAGTTGTTGCTGACTAATATGATCACTATCTTCCAAAATTTAACCTTCCCTAGTTATTTCCAAGCTCTGAGCAGGCTCATATGGATTTGTTCCATATACATTTTCATACATCTAAATGCACAGCAAAAGCCAGAGTTTTGCCCCTTGGTCCTTTTCAGATCTTATAAACAACTCTGGGTGTGCCTTGGTTGGCTTGGCCCTGATTGATTCGTGGATCTCCTCGGGGCTGCCCAGGGCCGGTCAGAGGCCGGCGGGGACGGATATACTCAGGGCCGGGGCCCAGCCCTCATCTTGTATTATAGAACGGTCTCAGTCGATTTTCTAAATCCATGACATCATATTTTTCTCATTCTCAATGGACAACAGCGCAAACCGTCGTGCCATTAGACATGCCGCATCTCTCTCGAAAGCCTTTCAAGCTTTTGGCGTTTGGAATGGCCTGAAGTTCGATATGTTTTTGTTCGATTCGCATCAAGTTTTGGTGTTTCATGTTTCTGGTGACACAGTGTGGCTGGGTCTCCTTCAATTTCATGGCCTCTTCAAAAATCTCAATGACCGATTTTCTACTTCACGTTCATCGATTCCTTCCGCTTTTCATGTTGAAAGCGAAGTAGACATGGTTTCCTTTGACCTCTGGGTGAGGTTGATACGCAAACGACTCATGCTTCAGTAAGATTCCGTGGTTTACTTGAATTGTGGTTGTCAACCAAATCAAACCTCTCATGGAGCGCACTCGACCATTCACCTCACCGCAAGGTTTCAGAGTCTGCCCCACTCATCCGCTTCTTGATTATGCTAAACTTAAACTTTTGTGAATAACTACGGTAATCCGATTCAGAAGTTTATAGAACCAAGAGTTCGTAATGGTTGCCTAATCGCATCGCCCTCCTGGACGAAGTTTCGTCCGGTTCACATGTTGCTGTGTCACAAGACAGTGTCATGAAAATTCCTCTAACGATTTACTTTTGTACTATAACCCCGTGTTCCGCTTGAAATTTCCATCACCTAATGATTAAGAAACAAGAAATGCTATGTAGTGGCGATGAAATTAAGATGTTTGTTAACCTTTTTCAACCATTTTCCTTTTTCTTTATCTTCCATTGGTGATTTCAAATTTGTTTTTCCTTGTCGGGAAAAGTTGAGATCATTTCGCCTTTAACTTGTTTCTTACTTTGTAGTATATATCTTTCTTCCTTCACCCGCAATCATTTAACTCTGTTCTTGATTCCGTTAAAAGACTCGCATATATATACCTCTTCAGTTTGATTTTATTCACGCATCTTTCATCTGCAGCTTTACCTTCTATTTTCTCGATGATACAACTTGAATCATCATGAAGAAAAGTACCAAACCGATTTTACTTGGAATCCTTTTCTGTTCATTCTTTTCTTTTGTTTTTTCTCGCAAATTGTTTTTAAGTGAAAGAGAAATCCAAGCAGAAGAAGAAGGATTCAGTTATGATCAAATCTCTACTCCTGATGATAATTCCACAAGCACTGATGATAATTCAACTAGTAGTAGTAATAGTTTATCAAGTGTAAGAGTAAACTCTAGAGAATTACATTTAAGTGGTAGATTTAAAATCACTTCCAAACCAAGGACTCGAAATTATATTTTCGAAATCACTAATCAAACCGCAGCGCTAGATGGTTACGAAAGGTATGAGTTCTCTTTTTCATTCATCATACGGATTTGATAGAAATCTAATTTCTTGAATTTGTTTCCTTCCTAGACCAGTTCTGGTTATCAATAACCAGTTTCCTGGACCATTGATCGAAGCAAATGACGTGAGTAATCTTCATCAAAAAACTAATGATAATACAAAATTGCTCATACATGATTATATGGATATATATCAGGGAGACACACTTCACATTCTTGTCAAGAATAAAATCAATTTACCTGTTTCTATACATTGGCATGGAATTTGGCAAAACGGTACACCATGGATGGATGGTGTTACAGGTTAATTAATTCAAAGACTTGAAAAATAATCAGGAATCAAGATTTGATTGATTGATAACTGTTTTGAATCAATCTCTCTAGGTGTCACACAATGCCCGATTCCTGCTGGAACAGAATTTACTTACTCTTTCAAAATCAATGGACAATTTGGAACATTTTGTATGATATATTTCGTACTTATTAAATTGTATTTTTTTGAAAGTCTCAAACTGATTAAGAAATCTCGAATCACAATGTAAAACATTCAATATTCTCAGGGTATCATGTAAGTTTGCTTCAACTGTCACATCTTCACTTGACATCGCCTTTAAATCTGAGATCTTGGACCATATTGATTGAGTCTAAATTATTCTTATTCTTTGACAGGCTCACGCTCAAAACCTCGCAGCTGATGGTATCCTAGGACCATTAATAATCCATTCCCCAAATGATCCATTAAAAAGAGGAGTAGATTATGATAATGACATTGTCTTAGTAGTAAAGTTGGCATTTTGCTCTTCTTAGTCTCGTCCGTTTCCGATAATAATTGAATTATGTTTCTTCTCTTTTGAATAGTGATTGGTATCATAAGTAAGCCTGCTACCTAATTTGTTCCGGTAACGAATTTTGGGTAACTAATGCTACATTTGTTTATTTGTAGTATGAGTACAACTATTTTAGAGGGTCAATTATCTGCTGCAGGTTACCAAGGTTCATTAGCAGCTCCATCTCCAAACTCAGGTAAACCCCAATTCCATTTCACCTGATCCTAAACAATCCTAGAAGTCCTAACACTTGAATTCCTTGGTTTATTAGCTCTCTTTAATGGAATAGGTTATTTCAATTGTTCTTTATCTGAACACGGTTCAAATTGCAAACAACAAAATCAGATTTTAGAATTGAGAGTTTCAGAGAATGAGAAAACTAGAATCCGTTTGATTGGAGCTGGGACTCATGCTCTGTTTCGTTTTTCGGCTGATAATCATCCTTTAAAGTTTGTGTTGCTTTTTTATGAATTTTTGTTGATAAATTGACAAACAAGTTTGATAAATTCTGTGATGATCTTTATATAGGGTTATCGAAGCTGATGCAACAGGTGTTAATGGTCCTGCTGGAGTTCATCGATTACCTTTTCATAATGGTCAAAGGTTTGTACATCTTTTTTTTAAAACAAGTCTTACTTTGAACGATTTTTAAAACTGATCCTTTGATTGATTTTTATTATATTAGATACAGTGTCATATTAGATACTTCTAATGATACAGTTGGTACGTCGTTTGCTTTGAGAGCAGTTATGGATACGGATTGTTGTAAGTGAAATAATATCTTTCAAATATCCTTGAACCTAACTAATTAACATATTTTTCTTCTTATTTTCAATTCGAAGTTGCATGGGGTAAGAGCCTAAACCTAATCTAAATCAATAATTCCCAAAAAAAGATATTAATCAACAATTTTTTATATTAATAGTTGCACCGGGATTAACAGAAAGAGCAGGTACAGCAATGGCAATCGTAAGAGTAGTACCAAAACATGAAAAAAGAAGATGTGGTTGCAGTACTACCGAATTGAGTTTGAATGCAACAGATTGGAAAGATTCAATTGGTGGACCATGTTTAGATATCAATGAAGATTTAACCCCATTAATCGCTCAAAGTGTACCTGAAACCGTACTAGGAAAAGTAAGTTTTCTTCTTACATCTTGTTCTTTGATGTGTCTTTGATCTCTTATATTAAATTTATTTGGATTTGGTTTGGATTTTAGAGAGTTGTGAATACGAGTTTTGGAGTTTTATTACAACCTAATTCAAAAAATCGATCACAAACTGAATCATTAGGAAGGTTTTTTGTTAATTCAACCACATGGAAGAGTAAGTACACATCAAAGAGAAAGCAAAACATTATTGAATCCTAACCAAACTGATTTTTAATATTTCGATATAGCATATACATATAAACCATTATTACCACAAATGATAAATGGAGGACAAGGGATTTTAAATCAATCAGAAGTAGCAGCTTATACACTAGAAAGTTTAGGATGGTATGATATTATAATTCAAAATTTAGATAAAGCAATTGACCATTCTTATCATCTACATGGAGTGGACTCTCATATTATTGCAAGAGGTAATGGAACATTTGATGGGAATTCGAATTCGAATCAGAATCTTAAGTATAATTTAGTTAATCCTACTAGAAGAGATACTTATGTGATCGGTGGTGGTACTTTTGCGATTAGTGAGTCGAACTTTTCTTGCTAAGGAGGATTTCTTTATTTTTTTGAATTGAATTGGTTTTTATCTTTTCTTTTTAGTACGAGTTTATGCAAATAATGTAAGTCGCATGTTTCATTCAAGTTACTAACCAATATCTTTTTTGATTCTGATTCTGATGATCATATATCATGTAGCCAGGAGTATGGATTTTACATTGTCATATTGGATGGCATTTAGCAGCAGGTTTTGCTGGTGTATTTGTAATGCAACCAAATCTACTATCAACTTATCAAGAACCTGAATTAAATCGAAATCTTTGTAAAAATGGACTTCAATCTTCTAATCAAAATGAAACTGAACCTGGATAACAAATATTCAGGTAGAAATTCTCAAGGTTTCAGTTTTGTTGGTGTATAAAAACAATTGTATCGTTTTTTGTCTTGCATTGTGTTTTTTCTCATACTATTTTTGTTGAAAAGTCTGATGATCATTGGTAGCATTGTTGTGTAGAAAATCTTGGAGAAGAATGAATTGGACATAGTTGAATGGAGCTTATATAGTAACATTGAGTTTTTCAAAAATCCTAAAAACTAAGAGCATCCCCTGTGCGGCAGGAACTAGAAACATGATACAGCTGTGTACAATGAAAGCTGGACACTGCATTTCAGTTTCAGCCATGTTGAAGCACAAAGACAATCTAAATCCCATTCAGCAACAAAACACAAACAAACACAACATCATGTTATAAAGTAGAAGCGTGGGATTGGTGAGGATAGCCACCACACTGATGCTGAAACACAGCCTCTTGGACCCTGGAAACCTGTGGCCCAAATGGAATGATAATGGTTTCAGGTTGTGGTTGTGGTTGCATGATCAATGATGTCATAGGGTTACATAATATTTCTCTTAATATTTATTTAGTGATATATATATCCTTGTTATCAGATAGTTGTTTTAGTTTCTCTTTCTCTTTATCAAAACAATTTGTTATAATCACTACCATTTATTTTAAAGATTTACTTTTTGTTAGAGAAATTCTATAAAAGTAAGACTTGAGAAATCTTTTCATGAGTTTCCAGATCTTCTTTGATTTCATAGTCATACAGGATTCTTAAATGAAAGTCTGGCCATTATTCCCAGCACCGCACAAACTGGATTTCACATTTGGGGTTCTACCAAATCTGGCTTGCAGACTAGCCAAAAGCGCGCAGTGCACTGTAGCGCGGCGCCTGGTGCTGCCAATTAGTAGCCCGGGGCTTCTCAAAGACTGCCGAGTTACACCCTGAGTTACCATTCTGGCCCGAGTAATTTGGATGCTGCACTGTCTGCTCTCGGATGAACGTCAGAAGTTATGCTAACATCACTCTCAGCTTAAATCTGAAAACCACCAACACAACATGACTTGATCTATCCCTCCCAGTACCAATAGAAATTGATCCATCCCATCTCAGAACTTCTTCAAGCTTGATCACAACACCTCTTCAATATTAACCCACATTTACCTCATATTCTCATTGACTTAGCAACCTCACTCCAAGATCCATGCTCTCATCACATTTGGACACTTGGATACTGCAAAACTTGGATGGGAGATGGTCCCTTGTTTTTGAACTGCTTTCAAGTTGTCAGATATGGGCCCTGGAAGGGACTCCATTGACCGGAGACTTTGCCAAAGTTATTAAAGGACTGGAGTAAGGTTGAGGGAAAAAAATAGAACAAGTCATTTCTAGTCATGTCTTATTTCATTCTTGCATGGGTTTTCCATCCCTTGTTATGTTTTATCTATGCTCGTCGACACTTCAATTCATTTTATCTTCAATTACAGTCATTACCTTACATAGTGTTTTTCTGTGAGGTCTTTATATTACATTTTGTGTTCTTTTTTGTTTGTTCATTTTTTCTTTGTGATTTTCCTATTCCTTTTACACCACAAATGGTTTCTTTACATTTTCTCAATGCTTTTTATCATTTCTGTTGCCTTGAATGTATTTGTTTACGTGAAACACTGAGATGCTGCAAGAACCAATTCTGCTTCCAGTTAAAAATGCTGTGAGAAAGGTTTTGCTGCTGTGGGGCAAGCTACCTAGCTTGGTCATGGAAATACCACCCCGCCCTGCCCAATTGACGTCTAGAACCAATGTGTGGCACTTTGAGCCAGACTTGGTTCTACCCAGGTCAAATATCACTGAGTGGTTTCATTGTGAATTGCTTATAATGTTTCTTGCTTGGACAAGCAACATGTGGTGATATGTGGAGCATCAGAAGGCCTGCGCAATTTTCCATTGGAAATTTTTTAGCAGCTAGAAACAGCTACTCACATAATGCAGTCTTCCTGTTTCAGCACTACTTGACAGTCTTCCTATGCAACTGACCAAAAGATACACCATCCAACTTTTTTGTTGTCAACAGTGCTGATCTCTCCTGTCCACAATGTAAAGATGGGACACCCTTCTTGTCTATGGGCAGCGGTGTTTATCTCCATACTGGGACACAGTTACAAAAAGGACTGCTTGGCCAGCATCTTGCGCTATACCAGGATTTTGCCTACCATCTTACACGCACACATGCATTAGCAATCAGAAAATCACACAACACTCAGATAGACAAACCACAGTTAGAAGAAAGTGTAACATGCATGTCTCTTACCTTTCCACACAAACTGTTGCTTGCAACAAGGAGAAGGATCACAAAATGCAGCATTACTATGTAGAGCCACACAAAATTGAAGCCAAACATGTTTGACCAATATTCAAGTGCTTGCGAATGGAAATAGAATTGCAAGAATGTGTCTGCTGTTCAAAATGCTTCAGCTTTTATTGAGGTTCTGAAGCTCCATGGAATTGTACTCATAAGAAGATTTCAAGAGCTAATTCATGCACTGGAAAATTGTTCACCATGAAGACTACAATCAAACTAGCTTTGTTTGGCCAGTCAAGCTTTTAATTTTTTTACAACAAGACATGTGTGATACAGCCACATTTGCAAGCATATGCTTCAATTCAGATATGAATCCCAAAGAGGTGCTAACAACAATTTCACTTTTCTACCCTTGATCCACCACCTCCACTCCAATCCATTCTTCAAAATTGTTTCACTTTCTCATTTTTATACAATTGTGGGATACAAAGTTAAAACTGGGATTTTTTTCCCAGTTTCCCAGTTTTTGTTTTTGGCTGTGTTTGGAACTTTCCCACGTTCTTCCAGTTTCCCAGTTTGCATTTTTGGCGGTATTTGGGAAACTGGGAAACTGGGAAAAACTCCCAGTTTTAACTTTGTATTCCCTAATTGTTTTAACTATCCATTGTTATACAATGACTCTTGTAAAGTACTCAGAAACACCCCCGGTGCTCCGCTCCGCTTCACTATATCCTCTAATTTGTCAAGCGCAGCAATTTTGTGCTATGACCAAACGCTCATTGCTACGCTATTATTTTCAAGGCGCTATGGGTCTTCAAAGCAATGTGCATTTGAAAACCACTTCGATCCGCTATGGGCAAATCTCACAGCAGATAGTGGCTCAAAGTGTGGTCGAACAAGTTTGTTTTCATTGTTGTTTTTTTCAAAGCCTTGTTTTGATTACTCATGTGTACTGTATGATCACGATTATTGCCATTCAATGTGTTGGTATTATTGGTGCCTTCCGATGTCAGTACCCAATCTGATTCCTGCTTGGCCTGCATGCGCTGAATTTGTATATATTTTGAACTACCATTTTTCTTACACCTCCTAGTCCTCAAACCTATCTTCCAAGGCCTCAAATGCCTCTTGGCAGGTGTGGGTCTCCTCCTTGGCCATCTCGGTGACACTTTGTGTGGTCTCCTTGGTGGTGGTGGTTCCGCCGGTTTCATTCATAGTTCCACTATTTTGTTCAGATCGTTGTTTGTGCTGTGCTTTATGGGGACTCTACCTTAGTCCGTTTTCTTGTTTAAATTGTCCTTCAGCTATTCCTTACTTGTGTCCTATTTTTTGCACACCTCTTATGCTTGTCAACTTCACGTTTTAATTTGCCACATCTTGTTTATTGTGGGTCTTTCAGCAGCCCAGCGGCAAGCGCAATTTACAATGTACTGTCCCTTATTTGTTTCTCCTGCGTGGATTGTAATACCTAAAGAATCATTCAAGTTAAAGGGAAACCGTGTTCGACGGCAAAACCCCCCAATACTCCCAATCCCTACTCCAAAATTCGAGGTTTACACGTCTTTACAATAAAACCTCGATCCCACGCGACTGACCCCTGATCAACTACCCGATCGAAAAGATCCTGCATCTACCCTCTCCACACCCTCACTTTCCATATTCCATCAAACATCTCGCCATGCAACCACATCATAGCCGATTCAAGTTCGGCCTTCAGGTTTGATCCTCCGGAGGCCTCGACACTCATCCACCATTGAGGCAATCACCACCATCATTCATGCCGACTGCTTAACGCCTTCTCATTTCAATGCCCCAGATCATATCAGCTCCAAACCGAGTCGCCCCAACCAATATGAACCAAACCCCAGTCAGTCACATGTGGCAAATGATGTCTCCGTCCTCTGCTGATCATCATCCAGAACTCTCCAGAGCGTGGGGACAGAACGAAGTGGTTCTTTGGGTCGACGCCTCATTTCACGTGCTTGCCGATCTCTATCATGTACCGCTCAGACCCGTTAAGTGCTGATGTGGTTTCTCTTATCACAGTCTTAGACCAGCATCTGCTATATATATTGGATGTCTCCTCAAATATTGTGTTTCATATAACCTACTCTCCAATCCCGATTAATTGTACATCGATGTCGGAACAGTTCGAATCCATTGACGCGGCGCTCTCGAGCAAGGACTTCATCAACCTATTATATGCAACATGTCGCGATGGTCAGTTGTTTCTTGATGTTCATATGTTTATCAAATTAGTATTAATGTGTAGTACGCCTTGATAGGAATTCCGAATCGCCTCATCTTGGTTTACAAGCACGGTTTTCCGATTGAAGTCGAACGATTTGGCAACGTAATCTTTAGTTTCTACAATCACCACTCTCCCAATTTTTTCTGTGTGATTTCCCTCTTGGAATATGTTTACATTCCATTTGTCATACCCGGTACGTTGAGCGTAAAAATCACAGAAAGCCTCCTAATCCACTGACCACGTGTGCCTACTCCTAGACCACGCTCGACTAATAATGTTAGATCATCAGCAACGTGGAATTCCTCACACCCACAGGATCAATGTGGTAGTGAAGGATGAGGTCAAGGTCACATTGCGAAGTATAGAAATATTCATGAGGTCTGCGTGTTAATGTGCCTCCGTCTTACAACTTTGCAAGCATGACTTGGAATACCTGAGGTGCTTTCAAGATTTCATTCATATACTTGGCTTCATTTTGCAATTCCATGTTTTGTATTTTGGTTGCCATGAAAATTAAACATCAATATTACGAAACCAGATTGTGCTGATTCTATCTCCCGTATCCTTATTACGCACTGCGCTTGATTTGTTCATTGTATTGTTGATTATATTGTTCTATAAGTTTGTCCTGCGGTCACCAAGTCACTTGGGTAGGTTTTCAAATGCACTTTCATAACGGCACAAGTGTTGTGTTGATGACAATATATCATGCAATTCTCATTCACAAGTCAAAGGGTAACCGTCTTTGACGGCCAAACTCCCCAGTACTCCCATTTCCTACTTCACATTTCGAGGTTTACACGACTTCACAATATGACCTTGATCCCACGGGACCTACCCCTGATGAACTATCCGATCCGAATGATCCCACATTGACGCCCTTCGCCACATCACTTTCTCATATTCCTCCAAACGTCTTGCCATGCAAGCACGCCATAGCCGATTGCAGTTCGTCCTTCAACTCTGCTGCTCTGGAATCCTTGATACTCATCGTGGCGATTACCACTGCCCGGCATGCCTACTGCATACCACCTTCTCATGGACAATACCCCGGATCATGTCAACTCCGAACCGAGTGCCCCCAACCAATGCGTACTAAACCCCAGTCAGTCACCTGTGACAAAGAAAACCGCCGCCTTATCAAACAGGTTTTTCTCTGTGCCATGTCAGATGACAAACATATTTATCGGGCTCCTGTTCCATTTCGACTGATTCACATGATTGTGTAGGCTCAATCCTCAAGACTCAAGCCTTCGAATTTTCCAGGTATCTCCCTCATTTGATTACGTTTGTGATTATTCCTGGCCACCGGGTGTCAGAATATTTTGTTGACGTCTCCGTTATCTGCTAATCTTCATTCAGAAGTCTCCAGATTGTGTAAACGGAACGAACTGCGTCTTTTGGTCAGTCCCTCATTTCACGTTCTTGCTGATCTCTGTCACGTACCAATCAGGCCCGGGTCTATTCCAAAATAGCGACACTGGGTTCGCACTATCTTCCGACCTTTGAGGCATGTGGTTCGGCTATCTTTCAACTTTTTCCTTGACAAAATCTGTCAGGCAAAGCCATCCGACTCACAGCTTCCCTTATTCCCTGTGTCAAAATGCGTAATCCTGGTATCCTCCACCTTTGCGAAGGGTAACTTCGGGTAGTTTTTGCCCCATGAAAGCGCTTCGTACATCTGATCAGCAAAAGGCAACATACACCGGCGCCTAGATGGGCCAGTCTGAAAACGGTACGTTTTGTTTCCAGCTGCGACCACTTTCAATGCCTCACATGCTCGCGTTCCGACACACCTCTTGCTCCTGAAATAGCCGAACAACCAAAGTATAAAGGTGGCATTGTCCTATGCGTAACCCCCTGGACCATACTCCACAATTCATTGCCTTACTCATTTGGATTCGGTGTAGCAGTATTGTGTACGATGCGCCATCATTTCCTTCATCAATATTTTGTGTCTTCCTTTGTGATCGCTTTTTACATATTGCTTACCACTGTTTGCATGCGTTTGATTTTCCAGGATCTGTAGCCACTTCCTGATTCACATCTGTATAGTCGTCCCAGTATACACATTGATAATGTCGGAACCCAACCCCTGCACCGGTCATGGCGTATATTTTTCTGGCATTTTCCAAATCGATGAAATGGTGAGCTTTAACCACCATGATTACCAGAGGCAATGCTGGACGCCGCTGACACATAATATCCTGGGACACAGTTAAGCGAGGAACAAAGCTTCAAGGTTGAATTCCGCAGTTTTTCGACCAACATTGTCTGTAGTGATGAAGATCCTGATGAGACCGTTGACTACGAGATTCGGGCTACTGGTTACAGCAACAAAGACTTTATGCTGCATCCTGGTAACCTGTACTTCCTGCGAGGGACTTTTTTCCCTACCAATACTCGCGATACGTACAACGATGAGTTGTTCTTCGAGGGTTTCGACCGAGCATTGCTTGGTAGCGCAGAGTCCTTTTCCGACAGCTTGGCTAATAAAGTCGGGATAACTGGGATTGGTCGTGTGCTTGATGTCGACTTTTACGTCGAGGAACACATGCAGTACCTCAAACGCAATGCTACCGAGACCAATAAGGTCACTTTGTATGCCATTGTTCAGCATTGTGATTTTCACCCAGAGGTCAGTGTAATTCATATCTCGACTGTATCAATCAGAGTGTTCTGAAACTATCATTGTAGACAAAGGAAGCAACGTCTATGACGGTCGAATACCGGGTCCCTCCTTTTAAGCACCTCGCGGGATCACCCCAAATTGTGAAAAAGGGGCGTGAGTGTCAATTCCATGGCTATGTTAAAGGTTTCAACGAAGAAACGAACCATTATATTGTGATAGCAAGTTTCAATGTGCCTCGCTATTGTGCAAATCTGACTCAGGCTTTCAATAGGTGAACAAAGTAGCACCTACCTCTGGCCACCTCGAGGCTGCCGGTCGCAAGAAAGCGGTTAAGGTCGGAAGTCAGGTTTTCAATGATCGACCCAAGTCAATTAAGTAGGTTTCGTTTATCACTTTTTATTCGGGGTGAAATTCTCTCACCAGACCATCTGACTTTTCAGGTTCAGTTCGCGCCCTGTGAACACCCCCTTCAAGACCCCAGTCACAGCTTCCGGCTCCGGCTCCAGCACCCCTTTCACTGCATCTGACCAAACACCTGCCTCCATTCCTTCGATTGGCGAACAACCAGTCCGGCAACCACCAAAAAAGAGGGCGAGGGAACAGCCCAAAAGAAAGGCAACCAAAGTCGCTGGACCCGGATTGGAGGAGATCTAGGTCACGATCGTGGCATCACCGTCTACATAGTTCCTAGATGTTGTATCAGTGCGGGCCAATGCTCGCGCAACCATTCTGCTAATCAACATGATCTGATCCCAGTCAATCAATACAAACACCTTTTTATTGTTTGTTGCCCAGTATTAAAAATTGTTATAGAGCCAGAGCTCTTCAAGCATAACCTAACCCATCTTTGTATCTGTTCCCAACCGTGTTTTTCTAACATTAGCTGAATTTGTTTCAAATAGTGTCTGCCGTACCAAGTGCCCACAGGCTAAACCATAGATTGTATTTCCTGGTGTCTTTCCCAATGTTTCAATTCTTTGTTTCAATTCATTTCAATTTTTTTTGTCGTATTGGGCCTGATGATTCTTACCGTTGTAGAACTTAAAGCTCAACAAAAGCTTTACAGAGCTTAAAGAGGGATAATCCACTAATAAAGTATCTAGTAGAAGTTGCCTAAGACTGCCTCTTTGAAAGAACCAACACGGGGTTTTGCTGAATTCTTTGGGATAAAGCACCAGAGAAATATGTCTCATTACTTAATTCAAGTATTATTCCCGTGAGTTTTTAGAAATAGAGAAATCTCAACACTATTGTAGTGTTATTCCAATTTGAACACAACAAAACACAATTACAATTACTAGCAAAGCAACAATCAGTTTGATTGTTATTCCAAATGAAGACTTGTAGTCTTATCACACGTAAAGAAATCTCTCCTTTGATGTAAAGGGGCTATTTAGTGAACTTAGTACTAGTAAAGTAATTTAATGATGATTAAAAACACTCTAACAAAAGTATAAGATGATTAAAAAGGGGAACAAAGACCCGTAAAATCCTTAACAATAGTATATAACCCTCCAACAACCTTCAACAATGGTCAACAACCTCCAAAAACCCTCAAAAACCGTCAAAATCAACAGAATATCCTCCAATGTAATCATATGATGTCATAAAGATTATTGTTTGTAATGATTCAAGGCGTGAATTTGATCAATTGATGTGAATAAATGATGAACAGATCTTCTTATGATGAATACAGGTGGTTTTTTCCTAATATTCATAGCTGAAATCCATTTTTGGAATTACGAATTTTTTGTAAAGTTGTTCAATTTTGGATTACTATAGCTCATTTGATAGCCCTCGTGATTCTGATCATTTATCACCCCTATATCACCTATTTCTGATGTGTGATGAATAAGTTATTGAGTTGTAAAGATTGCAAAAATAAGGTTTTGTCATGTAAATGTCACATGTAACCTCCAAATTCGAAATTCACTCCAGTTTCTTTGTTGCCTTATAACGTTTTCACTACTCCTCCGCTACTAATGATTTAAAGATTGTACATTATGAAACCAATGATTCTGCGTCGAATGAACTATCACGCACCCAACTCTGACAAGTTTTACCATATGTAATTAACTGAAAACTCCCATTTTTGATGAATTTTGACTATTTTCACGTCTAATAATGATTTTCCTTCTATCAAAAGATCATTCCACAGCGCTCCAATCAATCACACAGCATTAAAATCCTTCTGAAAAACTCTTGGCGCAATCAATCCATCAATGACATCACTACACAGGAATTAATACCATAGTACCCTTCTTCGAAATTTCCCTTTTCTTGAATAACTTCACACCTCCCTTATCAATCCTCATGATTAAAGTTGTTGATGACTAATGTGATCCTTCTCTTTCACAATAAAACCTTCCTGAACCAATATCTCTTCTATTAATAAGCTAAAAACCACTTTCCAAGCTTTCATACCCATATTTTCGAATTTTTCTTCAACTTGCTTTGTATTCTTCTTCTTCTTTCATTCTTTTCATAACAGTTTCCATTCTTAAAGATCCAAACTAAATGTTCTTCTTCCTCAAATCCCTTCTTACTAATTCTCTTAATATGATTTTCACTCTTTTACTATTTTTATTGATCTTTTCAAATTTTTCTTTGCTCTTAAATGATCTTATCAATTGCTTATGTAAATATATATTCTGAAAGATAATGAAATGAAAATAATGAATCAACTTTAATAACCTTGATGACTAACAACCTCAATAATAATAGTGCCTTTGACCAAAAACTCGAGTTTCCACATAATTTTTAAATTTTTTGCTTAAGTAGAGATCTTGCTCACCACACCGTTGAATCGATTGTCTTGACAATGTTGATGCGTTCTCGATCAAGGTTAAGCAACCAGGTCTTGCATCATCCAATTTGAACGGTTATTCATCCACCTTCAATCTACTTTTGTTTTCGTGGACCACTCATTGCACCCGTTTCACAGTCAGACCGTCTGCCAATGACAAACTCCTGGTTTGTTATACCGCATGGTCCTCGAGTGGTATCCTCACTGGATTCACATGAGATCTGTCCTATATGCCTGTCTACACATAATTATGCTCAAATGCAACAGTTTTGGGTGTCAGGCCTCAATCGTCAATATACTGAACCAGTACTGTAGCCTGGCTGCATTCGGTCATCCGAACAGTCCACCGGCCCATCACAGTTACCTAATCAACGGATTTTGTACAGTCTGATTCTGTTGACCCAATGGCAATGTGGGTCAACACTGTGTTCAATTGCGGAGCATTCAAGATCTTCGTGACATCGATCAACAGGGATGGACATTCCCAAAACCTCAGTTGCGATACACATCAAAGTGTACACACATCCGCGCGGTGTGCTGCCCGGTTCTCACAACTTCTTTTTAACAGCCTTCTTCAGGCGGTACACCTTATGTGGTTGAGGTATGACACACTGCCGAGTGAATTACTAAGGACACTGTCACAAACAAATTTCAATCATGTAGTAGGAAAATCGTGGCCAATGATTTGTTAGTCTGACTGAAATCAGAGGTCGTGCTCCCAATGGACTGTGGAGACACTGTATAAGCGATTCAGTCTGTTTATGTAATACATGCGGTTAATCCAAGTATCAGACAACTTACCTAAGAGTCCTGTGATACCATAACTTCTGGGTTGTTATGGTACGGTATCAAGATAGTATAGTTGTAGGCGGGCCTCCTGCCACGTCGAGCAATCCTTCCTGAGCGGTGGTGTGGACGCGGATGTCATTCAGACTCTACGATTCACATATCAGTCTCTTTCTTATCTACGTATTATGACTCACTGACCCTTGATGAATTCCGCAACCAACTTCGCCAACACTGGCTTGGAAATACAATGCTTGGACCAAGAGAGAGTCGTCCATTTGACGACCCCGTATCCTTCCAAATGATGGCTCTCTGAGATGTGCAATACCTCCATTGGCATGATGTTTCTTGGTGTGTGGCCCGCTCCACGCTTGAGCTGTCAAGCTACGACCTAATAAGGACTGGGACCGGTGTTCAGTCAACTCCGGTGTGGGGTGGTCCAGAGGAATCAAGTGTGCAAATGCGGTCTGGAAATGTTCTACGTTGTGTGGTATTATTCTGCAATCGCAATTGTGCATCGAATCAGGTTCTATTTATGGACCATGCTCGACGTGATTCAACACGATGTGCGATTCGCCACCACTTACCATCCACCCAAGATGATGATTGTGATCTATTCGAGTTCTTGATCGTGAAAGATTGGAGACTCACCGGACCGTCACGCTTGAGGATTCGTTTGTGTGTGTGTTTACGGAGTCTGCTTTCGTGATTCATGATTATTATTCATATCAGGATGAGGAGGATTAATCAGTTTTTGGTACCCCACTGACCCGCCATAATGATGCTGGGCTGTGAAGCCCAATGGGTATGATCAGGTATTGGGTTGATCAAATACTGTTTGTGCTCAGTGCTGTATATTGCTTTCCTTGCTCATGACAAGAGGGTCAATCAGTCTCCTATTGACGTGGATTGCCTCTGATGACGCTAACGTCTAATGACCGGTTTTTTCTTCTCTCAGGCCAGGTATACACACATGACAGTGCGGATATACCCTCAACGGCATCTACAGTCAAAGTCGGCGATCCCATTTGTCTATCAAAGTGGCACTGTTATAATAACCGTGCTCATGACAATGGCTGAATAATTTGTTTGCAGTGCAGGTAGGAGTGTGTATGATAGTTGAAATGAGTGATCTGCTGACGGTGCGGAGTCCAGTTACTTTGTCTATTGTTCCGAATCACCAGACAACGCACGGTTCGACATGAGATGTGGTATCGGCGCCGACTTCTCTCCAGGCCATGAAACACACACATTGGATTGTGATTGAAGGTTTCGGACAAGGGACTGCCCACAGCTCTGTGGATGAATCAAGGGATCGACGTGGTTGCTTGGGGTCAGGGAGCATGTTTGGGGAGGCTACCAACGTCAATGATTGACGGGTCTCGGGTGGTGATGTTGTCATCAGGCAATTCTCTTTGGACGATGGGCTAATATCACCCCTTTGCCCTGATTGTGTGCTCACCGCAGTGAGTGCCGATCAACTCTTTGGCCGTTCAATCACAACTAAATCCAGCTTTTTGTATTACAATTTATCTGCAAGCATCAATGCCACCAAGGAGAGCCGCAAAAGGTCCAGCAATACGGAGCGAAGCATTTGGGTGTGAAGCAAACCTGTTTCACCGATTCCGGGTCGAATTGCCATTCAGCCTTGGTCGTCAATCTGATTGGTGTCAGGGCTGTGGGGCCTTTAGATGGAGACTGGAGCGCCGGCTCAAGGATGCTAACCTCGATCATGCGACGTTTGGTAACTGCTGCCGGCATGGAGATGTTGATCTACCTGTAAGGTACTTCCCTGATTTGGTGGATGAGCCTGTGCCTGAATTCTTCCGTAATTTGCTCAAAGGCAGTGATGATCGTAAGTAATTCGCCCGTCTCTGGGGTTGATACTGGCACGCTGAAACGGTTTGTTGTACAGAATCAATTGTTTTCCGGCAGAAGATTCAGAAGTACAATAATGCATTATCGTTCACCTCTCTCGGTGTATCACTAGATTCGGACGTTCTGGGCCAGGCTGGCCACTATGTCTTTTGTATTAATGGACAACTATCCCATAATATCCCTTCCTTGATGCCTCTTAAGGAGGGTGAACCGGGATTCGCTCAAGTCTTCACTTATGGTAGTGGAGGTCATGAGGAAGCACGTCTTCGAGTCGAACGATCTGGTTTGGACCTGGACCCTGATATCCTTTATCAATTTCAGGAATTCATGTATCGACACAATCCTTATGCAAAGGTGTTCAAATTGGCAAATGTGATATGCAACAATCGAGTTGTGAAGACCCTACGAATCAAGACAGTCGTTGCTGCTGGCACCGATCATCGTCGGTATAATTTACCAACAGCCAATGGAGTCGCGGCGATTGTTGACGGTGATGGCAATGTTGGCCAGAGTCAACGGGACATCATCCTGGTTAGAAAATCGGGACGGCGCCAGCGTATTTCTGAGCTGCACACTGGGTACTTTGCGCTGCGGTATCCCCTTCTTTTCTTATACGGCTCCCAGATGTGGCACGAGTCATTCAAGAATCCGACCCCTAGCAGTGAGTTGTTTTCATTTTAAATGACTTGAATTGGTATTGAATGGATAAACATTTCTAGACCCTGAGGGCGACGTCACAAACCTGGATTGGTTTGCTTACTTATTATTCAAGCGACCATCTTATTCAGTTATATTGGCCTCCGGCCGACTGTTTCAGGAATTCGCCGTCGACATGTATATCTGTGTCGAGCATTCCAGGCTTCAGTACCTTCGTTTCCACCAGAACGAGATTCGTGCCGAGATGTACCATGGTGCCATCGAGGCATTAGGTAACGAAACTGAGGACGAAATCGTGGGGCGCAGGGTTGTTCTACCTTCGAGCTTCATCGGGGGGCCTAGACATCTGCAGCAGCTGTACCAGGACTCCATGAGCTTGGTGGCAGAGTATGGTAATCCGAGTCTCTTCATTACCATGACCGCCAATCCTAAATGGGCTGAGATAACAGATGAGCTAGAAGATGGTCAAACGGCTGATGATAGACCCGACTTGGTGTCTTGAGTTTTTTATATCAAACTTCATTGTTTGCTGGATGATCTGATCAAACGGGACAGGCTGGGGGTGGTGGTTGCGTATGTCTATACGATTGAATTCCAGAAAAGAGGCCTGCCTCATTGTCATCTAATACTGTTCTTGGACGGCAGATCGAAACCAGTAACCACAGAAGACGTGGATTGTTTGATTTCTGCTCAATTACCTAACCCAGAAACCGAGTCACAGATGTACGACCTGGTCACCCAACACATGTTACACGGACCCTGTCGAAAATTCCCATGTTGGAATGGTTCAGAATGTACTTGCGGTTTCCCAAGACCTTTTATGGAGACCACATCTTTGGCCGAGGACTCTTACCCCACTTACAAGCGGCCCGATAATGGCAGGCATTTTACCAAAGGTTCATTCAAGTACAATAATGGGCATGTCGTCCCTTATAATCGATTTTTGCTCCTTAAGTATAAATGCCACATCAATGTCAAAGTAGCCGCGAGCATCAGAGCTATTAAATACCTTTTCAAGTACATATTAAAGGGGCATGACAGAACGATGGCTCGGCTTGAAGGCGATGAGACCCCGGATGAGATACTGGCGTACCTTAATGCACGATTCATCAGTTCTCCTGAAGGTGAGCTCGTGACCAATATGTAGTTTAAAGTTGCATGCACTAACATACTGGTTCAGCAATTTGGCGACTGCTTAAGTACCCAATCGCAGGTCGATACCCGCCTGTCCAGCGCTTGGCTCTACACACCAAAGATAATCAAACGGTCTACTTCCAAGATGAAGCTGGGTTACGAAGGGCGATTGAAACCGGACGAGCCGCAAGGACAACCTTGACCGAGTTTTTCAGGCTTTGTAAGGAGAACACTAAACTGCGCGGATCAAACACAACTGTTCGGTCATTAAAATACCAAGAGGTGCCAAAACATTTTGTTTGGGACCAGAAGACCAAGAAATTAACAACTCGGAAGAATGGTGCGATTGCAGTAGGGAGGGTGTACTTTGCAAACATCAAAAGGGGCGACGTTTATTATCTTCGGTTGCTGCTCTCTCACATTCGAGGTCCGACTTCATTTCAAGACCTCAGGACAATTGATGGTGTTACGTTTCCCACGTATCGCGAAGCCGCGGATAAGCTGGGCCTGTTATTAAGCGATCAGCATTATCATCGAAGTCTTCGTGAAGCTGCAGTATGGAAAACTGGTCATCAGCTCAGACGAATGTTGGCGATCATTTTATGTCACAGCTCACCTGCTGACCCAGACGGATTATGGTCAGCGCACATTGATAACCTTTCAGACGACTGCGAGTACCAGCTCAAACGCTTGAATCCGCGCATCAAACCATCACCTGAGCAAATCCACAATTATGCATTGTTTCAACTTGAGAAGATTATCGTGTTAATGGAATCGTCCCTTGAATCGGTCGGCGTACGAGCGGTCGATCACAGACTATTGTTCGAATTGGACCTTCCAGATGTTGACAGGACTGATCGAAGCAATACCGTTGATCCGGGGGAGAGCGTTCGCAAGCACGATGCAATGCTACAACTGTTAACCGTTGAGCAGCGGTCGGTCATTGGACCAATCGTGGAAGCACTGAACAATGGAACACCATACATGGCTTTCCAGGATGGTCCTGGCGGTACCGGCAAGACTTTTGTCTTGAATTGTATTTTGCATTACTGCAACGGCAATCATATCCCTTTCGAAGCAGTGTCTGCAGCAGGCATTGCGTCTCTCCTCCTATTGAATGGTCGAACGGCTCATAGTGCATTTAAAATACCAATCATTGTTGATGAAGAATCAACCTGCCCGGTTTCGAGTAGGGATCATGTGGGTCGGAAACTTCAAGATATTAAGTTCATTGTCTGGGACGAGGTGGCGATGCAGCACAAGCACACTATTGAGTGCGTTGATCGAACGATAAGAGACATAACCGGAATCGACGTACCCTTTGGGGGCAAAGTGGTTCTGTTCGCTGGTGATTTCCGGCAGACACTTCCTATCGTCAGGAGAGCAAACTTGATGGCTCAAGCTGCTGCCAGTTTGAAGGCTTCCTTTTTGTGGTCACGTATCACTCGATTTGCACTGACACTGAACATTTGTTTAGGTGGTAATAGTGTGCAGCCCGACCCTACCAACAAACTCTTTGCTGCCTGGTTATTGGAACTAGGCTCAGGCCGTTTGCAAACAGATTACGCTGCGGTACTGGACCTGATGCATTGCAATGTTTCAGTTATTCGGCCGCCTCGGGAGTTTGACCCAGATTTAGTTGATACGGAGTATCGTGGAGCAGGTGACCTGGTCAGAAGCCGGAACTGGCCCGAACTAACGGACTTATACTCAATCCGTTGCGTCATAACACCTCTCAACTCAACGATGTCAATCATAAACGAATACGTAATGGACTCTTTGCCTGGGGACTATCATGTTTCCACTTCAGTCGATCTTATGGATGAATCTTTCTGCAATCCTGTGACGGTCGACGTCTTAAACACTTTTGATTTCCCCGGATTCCCGTCTCACGAAATGCGTCTCAAGGTCGGAGCCTCCGTGATGGTGTTGCGGAATTTGCAATTGGCCGGTGGTTTGTGCAACGGTACACGGTTATTGATTACGGATTATGCTGACAATGCTTTACAATGTCGCATCTTGACTGGTGAATCGATCGGTACATCAATAAGTTTACCAAAAATGAGGCTGCATCATGAGGGCAATGAAAATTGCCCTATTCCCTTTTACCGGTTGCAATTCCCAGTTGTTCCGGCTTTCTGCATGACCATCAACAAGAGTCAAGGTCAGAGTTTGCAGAGGGTAACAATCTTATTGCCAAATCCTGTGTTCACTCATGGCCAACTATATGTTGCGCTTTCGCGCTGTACTTCTGCCGCTAACGTTCACGTGTGCATTGTGTCGGATGAAGATGTCTTGGCTACTAAAAATATAGTTTTCCACTCAATCTTAGAGAGTTAATGGTTTTGAGGTGATTAAATTTTGTGTTTTGTACGGTTCCTGATTAATCGATTTTCATCTAATTGTTCATCTTATCAAAATGATGGTGTAGAGCATGCGGTCGCAACTTTTGTACCATGACCATGATTGACCTTTTTGACTTATTGAGACCATTGAGCCACGAGGTTGTATTTGTGATGTGGCTGATTGTTGGTGGTACTGGTGATGATCTCGCGACGCCATATCAAACACTGGATTGTTGTGCTTAACTGCATGGATGGCGAAAGGATTTTCGTAACTCAGGGTGGTATTAACACAATACGTGATTGTTGAGAGTCTCATGCTTAGCCTTGCATGAATTGTTGATACTTTTTAATAGCACCACGTGCGTGTGCATCTGCATTGTTGGTTAACAGCTTCACTTGGACTGTGAGCATGTACTATGAGATCGTGCGTGTGTATTGCAGGCAAACATTGCCCGTCTCGAGGATGAACGGGTTGGCCACGGTCCCTCATTTCAATATTTGTCTTGCCACCTGTCCATTCGAAATTCTGGAGCTGCTGAGCAAACACCCCAGACCTTGCGTGTCATGTCAAATAAAGTGAGTATTTCACTCTACTCTCCGGTCATGAATTCTGTTTAAGTTGCCCATAACTGACTTCCCTATGCGCCCAGGTGTCCAATGTGGTATCATGTCGATGGGATTGTTTGCGTGTGAAAACGATCCTCTACGGCTGGGGACCCCAATCAGCGTCTTCACGCCCCAATGATCAGTATCAAGAATGTTTGCTGCTATCAGTTTGTTCAAGAAGCAAAGCGAGTCGCTGGCCAAGGTCTAATCCCCTCTCAAGCTTCTACCTCCCTTGCCCTAAGCTTTGATCATGTCACTGATCACCTCGCTACCGATTGAAATCATAGGAATTATTCTGCAATGTCTCATCGACTCATGTCCCGGCAGATATATCACTATCTTAGACTCTTTCGATCACTCTTACTTAGAACCTGAGGTGGTATCAAACCTACTCGATCTGCGCTTGATCGGTAAGGCGTGGGCAATCGCGGTGATTCCGCACGTTTACAGGAGCATTCGGTTAACATCGCATTTCATGATCAACACATTATCAAGACGCTTAGACGACTCCTTCTTGGTCTCAAACATGGCGAGGTTCCGTGCATTATCATTTGATTGCTTATTATATCCTGATATTGATGTGATTTCAACCCGGGCGAATCATTTAAAGCCGACCCTCGGTTCACGACTTGATCCAAGGAACCATCTGATCAACACCAATTCTTCTTTGATGCGGCACGTGGCGAACATCATCCAGGTATCTGCACCCACTTTAACTGATCAATCATTCAGGTTCAAGGGAACAGTGGGATTCAGATCAGGAATAATAGCCGCTGTGCATCAGGTTCATAATCTCGAGGTGTTGAACATTATTGGATTGACTGCAAGTAACATGTCGGACAACTCAAACTCATTGAAGAGTTTACTGGATGCAACAGTCAATCTACGATCAATGTCACTACAGATAGGCTCAATGGACCGATTAGACCTGGCTCGCGGATCACTATCTCAGCTTGAACATCTGGCGGCGTCATGTAGTCCTGCTAATTACGATGCCATTGTGGGTGTTTGCGAGAACCAAGGTACAAACATCAAATGTCTCGAATACAAACATAATTTCCATAATCACGAGACTGCTTTAATGATTCTGGCGGTTCGACAATCAGTCGAAGTTCTGTTGACCGACGTTACTCCTGGCTCTAATCCTATCAACGTTCACGATCTGGACTTTCCCAATCTTCGAATCATTCGTCTTACGTGTTCAAACACCATGGGAAAGGACCTCAATTGGCTACATTCAAAGTTCTTTGAACATATGCAAGTACTGGTCACTGGGTATCATATTTCCGTTGGTTATTGGCGCAGGGTGTTGAAATGCAAGTACAGTACCTCGGTGACATTACCTGTCAATTTCAAGCATATCGTCTTCCTGACATACGATGGCAGAACAAAGGATCCAGCGATAGTGAAGTGCTTCAAAGAATATAACATAACATGCCATTTCAGTTATGTAGGTGGTTATCATGAGCTGTTGGTGAGCACTTTTCTTTTGTGCTTCCTGAATTGATTGTGCCTAACCCCCTGATACGACATTCCATAGGATATATTGAGGAGCTCTGGTAATCAGGATGACTAAATCGATTCAAATTCCTTGATTGTTTTGGGGAACAATTGATTGTAAGCACCCTAGCAAATTTGTTCCTGTAATGACCCCCGCCTGAAATTGTGAATTGTTTCTGCAACACTACTATAGCGCGTACTGGTCAACAAACAGGCGGAGGCCATTTTCTCTAAGAGGTTGCGATAGAGGGTCCTGGTGATCAAAGGGATTGTGTGGCTCAAGTTTACTCAACATGCGTGGGGGCCTGGGGTGTTATTGTTATTTTGGGTTCCGAGTTGCAAGATCAATGTTATGTGGGTTATGACCAGCAAGCAAGGTACATTTTTCTGACTTTAGTAGCGATGTATTGTGTTAGGTTCTGTTCGGTACCTAGGTAATATAATTGTTGGACGCCGCAATGTGAGCATTTGTGGCAATAGAATTGGAACACCAACACGCCTCAACAAGTTACGTTTGTTAAGGTGTCAGAGCCAATGTGGTTGAACAGTGCGTGAAAATGTCTTCTGGTTCACTATTGCAGGTCTCACAGTCAGGGCATGGTAGACAGGATTGATCACAGAGCGGTCATGAAGACTGGTGGTACATGATCTGCAAGTCATTATAGTGCAGGTATTACACTGCAAATATAATGTGTTTCTCTGTGGTGAAAAATGATTACATTTAATTCAAAAAATGATTAAAAGTGCATTAAATCTACATTAAATCTACATTTTTATGCATCAAATCTGCATTATTAATCATTTTGTGCATTAAGTTCAATCATTTTTCACCTTAGAGAAACACATTATATTTGCAGTGTTAGGAATCAAAGGAGTTGGTCTACTACTGTCGAAGTGTGCCTGAGCAACCTGAGCCTATGACGTGAGTTGATTGGTTAAGCGGCCAATTGTGAGTTTCAGAGATTTGATAAGGTTTGGGAGAAATGTTCAACGAACTGAGGAAAAGCAGTGAACTGCGGAGGCACCAGAGTCTGTTGAGCAGTCTTATTCTGAGCGCACCTGTGTCAATGTAATAGTCTCTTAAAGTAGGCTGTGCGGCGCCCGCCGCCAATAGGGCTAGTAACAATGAATGGGACTTCTCCCAATTCTCCTTTGCATTCTCAGACTGTTTGGCTCTCGCTCCCTGTTCCTTGTTCCAAGCCTTTTGAAAGTATACCGTCCGATGTGAGAGGTGCAGCCAAGCCTCCCCTATTTGACTTGATGACTATGTTCTTGGAATGCTAACTGACATTGTCTCCTGTCTCCGCACCTATTTCCTTGAATTGCTAACTGTGACATTATATCCTTGACCAGGAGCTTCCTGTATCTAGTCTTACAATGGATCTTTGTACTTATCTACTTTTCGCCTCTGCATATACAAGAGCAAGCCGTTGAGCCGATTAATTAGTCATCTTTTATTTTGGCTTTTTATCCTATGGCTTGTAACAAAACCTTTCCGGATGCATTTGGTATAATGTTTAGTAAAGATGAAGTTCATACTAAACTGAACAAGCATATGAATGGATGCTCAGATCAAGAACAATTTGGAGAAGAAGACGATACAACTCATTCAAATAGTTTCCTTCAACTTTGATCAAATTGAGAATCTTAAATCAAGAATCTTGAAAGAATCCTCACCTCGTTTATTTCAAAAACAACCTTTTTTGATGCATCAATTTGTTTTCATATGTTATTCTCAAAAGCTTTATATCATTTCTTTTTTGATAAATCAGAAAGAGTATAAATATTGTTCAACAAATATTACATCAGAATCTTGCTTCTTGGTGGTAGCAGGTAATTGATTGGGTAATTAATCTGATGCTTGATCCATCTGACACTTTGAAGTTGGTGAGTGGGTATAGGCCAAAGGGTAATTCGATGTGTGGATGAAGTGTGATTGTCGGTCGCAAAGTCAAGCGTGAAACTTTTGAGATCTTCAGGCTGAATAACTAGCTATTCCAATGACTTCATGCGACAATTGCGGATGATTAAGGGGTTGACTTTGCTGTGATTTGGCTACAAAGGTGATTGAATGTTGAGATCAAGGGTTGTTGATCTGCTGGCTTTGGCAATATGTGAGGTTGACAGCGACATAGTACTGTACAAGGTTGAAAGGGTGGCGCTCGGACTCACTTGGGGCGCTATGAGTTTCCAGGCGCTCTGTTGCGCTATGGTGCCTTATAGCACTGCAAAGTATTGCTATGCAGAGTGCATCCAAAAAGCACTATATTTTTTTGGGTTTGACCATAGCTATAGCCACTGTCAAGACACACTATCCAATAAAATTGCTAGCGAGGGCGCTGTGCTACCGCTATCTCAGGCAGATTGGCGGGGGTGTTGTACTCAGTGTAAATTAAAGTGATTGCACTAACTATCAAAAGACAATACATTATCTGGCCATGTCTCAGAGATAATTATCTTCAAAATATGATGCATTTATCACCAAAAATACATTTTTAATTTGTGGGGCAAACAGAGAACATATCTTATGTTACACCTTGCATCTATCAAAGACAAAGGCACCAAAAAACCAGAAAAAAACACCACACATCACAAATGGCATTTCTGATCTGTCTTGATTTTTCCATATGCTTTGAACTCCTGTGAGCGGTCAAAAACCAGAAAAAGTGTCAGAAATTGTTTGGTGAGTTGATGCTGAGTATGATACTTCAAGCAACTTCAAAAAAGCCTTCCAGGACAAAGATCATTGTACTGTTCCCCATATATATTGTGGCTGTTGCTATTTGCAGCCGGCAAAAAATCCATGTAGGTGCTTCCCAAATTGCGCCTACATAGGTGTTTCCCACAAAAAAGTGCCTACATTCCAACACCTACATCAAAAATCTGTGGGAATTTGAAATGTGGGCGCTCAAAAATTATGCCTACATAGAATAGAATATAGATGTGCTTTTCGAGCGCCTACATGTCTGATTTGAAATGTGTTGCTATTTTTGAGCTCCTGCATTTATTTTTCTGGTAAAATAAGCACCTGCTAACATGTTGGCATATGTAGGCGCTAAAAATCAAGCACCTACAACTCAAGACTGGTCATACAGGTAATCAAGAACCACGTATAAAAAAAATTATCTTCCAAAAGAGAATGTTTCAAGTCAAAGTAAGGGATTTGGAGGAAATGAACAGTGTTTCAAGTCAAAATGCAGGTGTTGGAGGACTTAAACAGTGTTTTGAGTCAAAATGAGGGTGTTGGAGGACATAAATAGTGGTTTGAGCTGAAATGAGGGATCTGCAGGACATATACAGTGGTTTGAGTCAAAATGGGCATGTTGGAGGACGTAAACAGTGGGACATAAACAGTGGTTTAAGTCAAAATGAGGGATTCAGAGGACGTAAAGTGTTTCAAGTCATATGAGGGTATTGGAAGACATAAACAGTGGTTTGAGTTAAAATGAGGGCATTATCAGAGGTTTACGTCCTCCAATACCCTCATTTCAACACATGCAATGTCTGACGCTCACAACCATTTTTATGTCCTCAAACACCCTCATTTTGACTCAAGACACTGTTCACATTGTAGAACTTATAACCCAACAAGGGTTATACATAGCTGGAAGAGGATAATCTACTAATAAAAATGACTAGTAGAAGTTGTTTAAGGATGGCTCTTCTAAAACAACACAATCAGAAAGAGAAACTGTTGTATTGAGTACAGATAAGGCACCAGGGAAATATAACTTTCACACGTATTTTAACGTCAAAAGCACAGTTTTTATTACTATCAACACTGCTATAGTGTTATTCCCAGATGATAACAAAAGAAAATAAGCAATATCTTAATGATATTATTCCCAATAAGTCTTTTTGACTGTAACACTAAAGTAAATTTCTCTTTATAGCTATAATAAAGGGTGTATTGAAGTGACCAGGTACTATTAAAATAAGTTTATGATGATAAACAAGATAATAACTGCGTAAATGATAAAGAAAAAAGGGGAACAACAGTCCAAGAATCATCTCAAAGTATATATAACAATGTACTCCAACTTTGATGATGGTCAAGAGCCTCAAAACCAATCAAATCCGCCCAGAAATCCCTAAAAACCCTATGATGACGCAATGTAAGTAGACTATCTGAAAACCAAATTTTGAGATTACAAATTTTTTGAGATGAGGTCCGATTTTTGATTACTAAGGTGCATCTTGTAGTCCTCGGGATACTGATCATTTATCACCCCCATATGACCTATTTCTGATGAGTGATGAGTAAGATATTGAGCTGTGAAGTTAAGGTTTTTAGTGTTACATGTTGACTTGTGACTGTAAATTTGAGATTCACACCAATTTCTTATTTGCCTTATAACTTTTTACATAGACCTCTGCTACTAATGATTCAAAGTTTGTACATTATGTAATCCGCACTTCTGCGTTGAATGAGCTATCTACCAACCTAATATGACTTCATTTGACATATGTAATTAGCTGAAAACCTTCATTTTTGACAATATTCCCCCATTTTCTTCACTTTTCACAGCTGCTACTCTCTTTTTCTTGTCCATGTAACATGAAATCATCCTCTATAACCTTCAAAATCCCGGAAAATCCTCTTGGCAACCTTAAATTCCACTATTACCACCATTACATATGCAAACTACATGTATACCCCTTGTTTACCAACTTCGAAAAAGTACCTTTTCCCTAATAACTTCTGTTTCTTCTTATCAAATTTCAAGATCAAAATTATTACAGTATAATATAATGTTTTTCTTTCATATCCTAACCTCATAATACCCATAACTTTATTATTAATACCCTAAAAACCATTTTCCAACCTCTATACCTATATTTTTGAATTTTTCTTGTGTTTTTCTTTCTTTCTTTTTGTAATAAGTTTGCGAATGCACTCTAATGATCTTAATAAGTAACATGAAATAAAATGATGTAATGTTAACCCAATGACCAATACATAAGCCCATAAGAGCTTCAATTGATCCAAAAAAACCTCCATTTTGAATTTTTCTTCCCTGCTAAACTTTTTGGTGAACTGGTAAACTACTAGTAATGAATTTTTTTGATTGATCC